GTGTAGATCATACAGTTGCCGTGTGTTAAATGAAGGTTAAAGAGCCCAATATAAGACGGGCCTGCAAGCCCAAATTGTGAACATTTTGAAACAGCCCTTTCTCTCTGTCTTTCTCACACACGCAAACAACCCCTCCCCCACCCCTATTCCTCTTTACTCGATTTTCGGCATCACTTAAAACCTGACATTTTCTTTCTATTTGCCTCTTTCAATTTCGGTTCCCAAGTTACTCATCTCAAAATGCATGCTCTGTTTTTCCTTATTTTGTTTTTGTCTGTCACGTGACTCCTGTGATAAATGTTTTACGTTGGTTGTATTGTTCATTTTATTTATTTCGTCTTCTGCATCGTTTCTTTCTTTCTTTCCTTATCTCGTTTCTGTCATTTCTTTTCTTTTTTTCTTTCGTTTTATTCTTTCGGTTTTTTATTGTTCTTAATGAAATGTTTCCCGCATTGTTTGTGACTTGAGCTATCTGTTAGCCACTATTTATAATTGTTTCCACTCTTTACAGTCTGCTTTTATACTTTCTGCCTTAATTACCTTCGCACTTTTCTCTCATCTTGTTTTTATCCCAGTTTAAAACAAAAATGATTTAATAACTTCCTTGTTTATTTGTTTGTTAGTTTCTTTATTTTTCTCTCTCTTTCTTTCATTTTTCTTACGTTCTTTCTTTTTTTAAAGTTCTTTTTTTTTTAAAAACTACCTGCCTCTTTTTCTATTATCTATCTATGTATCTATGTATCTATCTATCTATCTATCTATCTACCTATCTATCTCATCTCTCTATCTAATCTATTTAATATGTCTATATTTCTATCTGTCCATCTAATTAAAGGTCTCTGTTTGACACAAGATTTACAGTCAATCAGGTACAACTTTGTGTTTGATACAAGCCTCACTGAGTCAGGTATAACCGTGCGTTTGACACACGCTTCAGTCAGTCAGGTACAACTTTGTGTTTGACACAAGCTTTAGTCAGTCAGGTACAACTTTGTGTTTGACACAAGCTTCAGTCAGTCAGGTACAACCGTGCGTTTGACACGCTTCAGTCAGTCAGGTACAACTGTGTGTTTGACACACGCTTCGTCAGTCCGGTACAACTGTGTGTTTGATACACGCTTCAGTCAGTCAGGTACAACCGTGCGTTTGACACACGCTTCAGTCAGTCAGGTACAACTGTGTGTTTGACACACGCTTCAGTCAGTCAGGTACAACTTTGTGTTTGACACAAGCTTCACTCAGTCAGGTACAACCGTGCCTTTGACACACGCTTCAGTCAGTGAGGTACAACTGTGTGTTTGACACACGCTTCAGTCAGTCAGGTACAACTGTGTGTTTGACACACGCTTCACTCAGTCAGGTACAACCGTGCGTTTGACACACGCTTCAGTCAGTCAGGTACAACTATGTATTTGACACAAGCTTCAGTCAGTCAGGTACAAATTTGTGTTTGGCACAAGCTTCACTCAGTCAGGTACAACAGTGCGTTTGACACACGCTTCAGTCAGTCAGGTACAACTGTGTGTTTGACATACGCTTCAGTCAGTCCGATACAACTGTGTGTTTGATACACGCTTCAGTTAGTCAGGTACAACCGTGCGTTTGACACACGCTTCAGTAAGTCAGGTGCAACCGTGCGTTTGACACACGCTTCAGTCAGTCAGGTACAACTGTGCGTTTGACACACGCTTCAGTCAGTCAGGTACAACTGTGTGTTTGACACACGCTTCAATCAGTCAGGTACAAACGTGCGTTTGACACACGCTTCAGTCAGTCAGGTACAACTTTGTGTTTGACACACGCTCCAGTCAGTCAGGTACAACTTTGTGTTTGACACACGCTTCAGTAAGTCAAATACAACTGTGTGTTTGATACAGGCTTCAATCAGTCAGGTACAACTGTGTATTTGACACACGCTTCAGTCAGTCAGGTACAACTGTGTGTTTGATACAGGCTTCAGTCAGTCAGGTACAACTTTGTGTTTGACACACGCTTCAGTCAGTCAGGTACAACTGTGTGTTTGATACAGGCTTCAGTCAGTCAGGTACGACCGTGCGTTTGACACACGCTTCAGTAAGTCAGGTACAACTTTGTGTTTGGTACACGCTTCAGTCAGTCAGGTACAAATTTGTGTTTGACACACGCTTCAGTCAGTCAGGTACAACTGTGTGTTTGACACACGCTTCAGTCAGTCAGATACAACTGTGTGTTTAATACAGGCTTCAGTCAGTCAGGTACAACTGTGTGTTTGATACACACTTCAGTCAGTCAGGTACAACTGTGTGTTTGATACAGGCTTCACTCAGTCAGGTACAACCGTGGGTTTGACACACGCTTCACTCACTCAGGTACAACCGTGCGTTTGACACACGCCTCAGTCAGTCAGGTACAACTGTGTGTTTAATACAGGCTACACTCAGTCAGGTAGAACCGTGCGTTTGACACACGCTTCAGTCAGTCAGGTACAACTGTGTGTTTGATACACGCTTCAGTCAGTCAAGTACAACTGTGTGTTTGATACAGGCTTCAGTCAGTCAGGTACAACTGTGTGTTTGATACAGGCTTCACTCAATCAGGTTCAACTGTGTGTTTGACACACGCTTCAATCAGTCAGGTACAACTGTGTGTTTGATACACGTTTCAGTCAGTCAGGTACAACTGTGTGTTTGACAAACGCTTCAGTCAGTCAGGTACAACTGTGTGTTTGACAAACGCTTCAGTCAGTCAGGTACAACTGTGATAACCACTTACCACCGTCTCCAGCTATTCGTGTCCCTGGGGTTTTCCGTAAAAGAATTCGCTCGTTGTAGATTGGATCACGTTGCTGGGTAGGTCGTGCATGTTGCAGACACAGGTGAGATGTTTACCTGTACCTGGGGGTGCACCAGCATTAGGGACTCGGGAAGGCATCGGGGTGGAAAAGGATACTTACCAGGGGATCTGTATCACTTCTGGCAGGTAAGAGAGAAGCTTTGGTTCGACATGTTTCATGTCCAGTTGGTAAGTGCAACTCTCTCCTGTCTCTCGTCTACCTGCTTGTTTTCCTTTTGCCTGTGTCAATATGGATGTGTATATATGTATGTGTATATGTGTATGTCTATATGTGTATATGTGTATGTGTATATGTGTATGTGTATATGTGTATGTGTATATGTGTATGTGTATATGTGTATGTGTATTTGTGTATGTATATGTGTATATGTGTATATGTGTATGTGTATATGTGTATATGTGTATGTGTATATGTGTATATGTGTATGTGTATATGTGTATATGTGTATGTCTATTTGTGTATGTTTATATGTGTATGTGTATATGTGTATATGTGTATGTGTATATGTGTATGTGCATATGTGTATGTGTATATGTGTATGTGCATTTGTGTATGTGCATTTATGCATGTGTATATGTGTATGTGTATAGGTGTATATGTGTATTTGTGTATGTGTATATGTGTATTATTAGTATCATCGTCATCATTATCATCATCATTATTATTATACCATTATTATTATTATTATTATTATTATTATTATTATTATTATTATTATTATTATTATTATTATTACTGTTCTGTCTCCTTCTATTCCTCATTTCCCTCCTCCGACTTTTCTTGTTTGTCGTCGTCTTCTTTTTTCTTTGCACCTGCTTAATTAGCGCGAGGCCACTGTGCGCTGCCGCACCTGAGACAACAAAGTCAACGATTTCACGGCCCCAGAGATTGGGTAAAGAGCCCCTTGATACGTCCTGAGATTAGGCAAAGAGCCCCTTGATACGTCCTGCGATTGGGCAAAGAGCCCCTTCATACGTCCTGAGATTGGGTAAAGAGCGCCTTCATGTGTCCTGAGATTGAGTAAAGAGCCCCTTCATACGTCCAGAGATTAGGCAAAGAGCCCCTTGATACGTCCTGCGATTGGGCAAAGAGCCCCTTGATACGTCCTGAGATTGGGTAAAGAGCGCCTTCATGTGTCCTGAGATTGGGTAAAGAGCCCCTTCATACGTCCAGAGATTGGGTAAAGAGCCCCTTGATACGTCCTGAGATTGGGTAAAGAGCGCCTTCATGTGTCCTGAGATTGTAAAACCTAAAGACATATTGGCCAACATAAAACTACCGCGGTAACTCACATAGTCAGATAATAAAATACACAAGTTATGTAATGTATCTAACAGAATTATTTGCTCTGCTTCATTATGTGTTGATATAATTCTGTAATTTTCACATGAGAAAATCCAGCGAAATAAATCAGGCGTGAAATTGCAGAATTTATTATTTGTGTCTTTATGATTTCACAAGAACAGATAATTACTCTAAAAAAAAAAAAAAAAACAGATGCACGGAAGTAAAGTGTTCAATGGCTTCATCAGACGTTGTAGAGTTTCTTCTGTAATCAACTTCCTCTGCTGGGAAGTATAGCAAGGAGATGATTGGTCTTCTCCGTGAATCTGGTCGTGTGTAGTTTGAAGGCTAACTCGGTGTCTCAGTTTGGTCCTTGCTGGGACCAGGTGAGAGGACACATGTAGAGAGGACACCTGTAGAGAGAACACCTGTAGAGAGAACACATGTAGAGAGGACACCTGTAGAGAGGACACCTGTAGAGAGGACACCTGTAGAGAGGACACCTGTAGAGAGGACACATGTAGAGAGGACACCTGTAGAGAGGACACCTGTAGAGGTGGACACCTGTAGAGAGACACCTGTAGAGAGGACACCTGTAGAGAGGACACCTGTAGAGAGGACACCTGTAGAGAGGACACCTGTAGAGAGGACACCTGTAGAGAGGACACCTGTAGAGAGGACACCTGTAGAGAGGACACCTGTAGAGAGGACACCTGTAGAGAGGACACCTGTAGAGAGGACACCTGTAGAGAGGACACCTGTAGAGAGGAGACACACTGTAGAGAGGACACCTGTAGAGAGGACACCTGTAGAGAGGACACCTGTAGAGAGGACACCTGTAGAGAGGACACCTGTAGAGAGGACACCTGTAGAGAGAGGACACCTGTAGAGAGGACACCTGTAGAGAGGACACCTGTAGAGAGGACACCTGTAGAGAGGACACCTGTAGAGAGGACACCTGTAGAGAGGACACCTGTAGAGAGGACACCTGTAGAGAGGACACCTGTAGAGAGGACACCTGTAGAGAGGACACCTGTAGAGAGGACACCTGTAGAGAGGACACCTGTAGAGAGGACACCTGTAGAGAGGACACCTGTAGAGAGGACACCTGTAGAGAGGACACCTGTAGAGAGGACACCTGTAGAGAGGGACACCTGTAGAGAGGACACCTGTAGAGAGGACACGTGTAGAGAGAACAGCTGTAGAGAGGACACCTGTAGAGAGGACACCTGTAGAGAGGACAGCTGTAGAGAGGACACTATAGAGAGGACACCTGTAGAGAGGACACCTGTAGAAAGGACACCTGTAGAGAGAACAGCTGTAGAGAGGACACCTGTAGAGAGGACACCTGTAGAGAGGACACGTGTAGAGAGGACACCTGTAGAGAGGACACCTGTAGAGAGGACACCTGTAGAGAGGACACCTGTAGAGAGGACACCTGTAGAGAGGACACCTGTAGAGAGGACACCTGTAGAGAGGACACCTGTAGAGAGGACACCTGTAGAGAGGACACCTGTAGAGAGGACACCTAGAGAGGACACCTGTAGAGAGGACACCTGTAGAGAGGACACCTGTAGAGAGGACACCTGTAGAGAGGACACCTGTAGAGAGGACACCTGTAGAGAGGACACCTGTAGAGAGGACACCTGTAGAGAGGACACCTGTAGAGAGGACACCTGTAGAGAGGACACCTGTAGAGAGGACACCTGTAGAGAGGACACATGTAGAAAGGACACGTGTAGAGAGAACAGCTGTAGAGAGGACACCTGTAGAGAGGACACTATAGAGAGGACACCTGTAGAGAGGACACCTGTAGAGAGGACACGTGTAGAGAGGACACCTGTAGAGAGGACACGTGTAGAGAGGACACATGTAGAGAGGGACACCTGTAGAGAGGACACCTGTAGAGAGGACACCTGTAGAGAGGACACCTGTAGAGAGGACACCTGTAGAGAGGAGAGGACACCTGTAGAGAGGACACCTGTAGAGAGGACACCTGTAGAGAGGACACCTGTAGAGAGGACACCTGTAGAGAGGACACGTGTAGAGAGGACACGTGTAGAGAGGACACCTGTAGAGAGGACACCTGTAGAGAGGACACCTGTAGAGAGGACACCTGTAGAGAGGACACACTGTAGAGAGGACACCTGAGAGGACACCTGTAGAGAGGACACCTGTAGAGAGGACACCTGTAGAGAGAGACACCTGTAGAGAGGACACCTGTAGAGAGGACACCTGTAGAGAGGACACCTGTAGAGAGGAACACTGTAGAGAGGACACCTGTAGAGAGGACACCTGTAGAGAGGACACCTGTAGAGAGGACACCTGTAGAGAGGACACCTGTAGAGAGGACACCTGTAGAGAGGACACCTGTAGAGAGGACACCTGTAGAGAGGACACCTGTAGAGAGGACACCTGTAGAGAGGACACCTGTAGAGAGGACACCTGTAGAGAGGACACCTGTAGAGAGGACACCTGTAGAGAGGACACCTGTAGAGAGGACACGTGTAGAGAGGAACCACCTGTAGAGAGGACACCTGTAGAGAGAGGACACCTGTAGAGAGGACACCTGTAGAGAGACACCTGTAGAGAGGACACCTGTAGAGAGGACACCTGTAGAGAGGAGGACCTGTAGAGAGGGACACCTGTAGAGAGGACACCTGTAGAGAGGACACCTGTAGAGAGGACACCTGTAGAGAGGACACGTGTAGAGAGGACACCTGTAGAGAGGACACCTGTAGAGAGGACACCTGTAGAGAGGACACCTGTAGAGAGGACACATGTAGAGAGGACACCTGTAGAGAGGACACCTGTAGAGAGGACACCTGTAGAGAGGACACCTGTAGAGAGGACACCTGTAGAGAGGACACCTGTAGAGAGGACACCTGTAGAGAGGACACCTGTAGAGAGGACACCTGTAGAGAGGACACCTGTAGAGAGGACACCTGTAGAGAGGACACCTGTAGAGAGGACACCTGTAGAGGAGGACACCTGTAGAGAGGACACCTGTAGAGAGGACACCTAGGACACCTGTAGAGAGGACACCTGTAGAGAGGACACACTGTAGAGAGGACACCTGTAGAGAGGACACCTGTAGAGAGGACACCTGTAGAGAGGACACCTGTAGAGAGGACACCTGTAGAGAGGACACCTGTAGAGAGGACACCTGTAGAGAGGACACCTGGTAGAGAGGACACCTGTAGAGAGGACACCTGTAGAGAGGGACACCTGAGAGAGGACACCCTGAGGACACCTGTAGATAGGACACCTGTTAGAGAGAAACCAGTTTAGAGAGGACAGCTGTAGAGAGGACACTGTAGAGAGGACACCTGTAGAGAGGACACTGTAGAGAGGACTAATGTTCAGAGAGGACACTGTAGGAGGAGGACACTGTAGAGAGGACCACCTGTAGAGAGGACACCTGTAGAGAGAACATGTATGAGAGGACACGTGTAGAGAGAAACGTGTAGAGAGAACAGCTGTAGAAGAGGACAACCTGTAGAGAGGACACCTGTAGAGAGGA